TATCTTAACTTAAGTTTAATACCTTCTGTTCAGTTACTGACTTAACCAACCAACTTTTATAAAATATCTGCGCAGAGAATTTTCAACAAGCGATAGATTAGAAGAAACTGGTGCACCACTTAAAAATAATGTCTTAAGAGATAGATATCTGGTCGGAGGTAGATTAAATAGTTTACATAATTGCTTTTCATTGGTTGTTAGCAAATCTGCACCGAGCGGTTCTTTAAGTGTCTTTAGTTCATCTAATTGTGAGCGTAGAATGTTACTAACTGATACTGGCGCGTTTGTAATCATAGCAGGAGCTTGTTTAACAACATTTAAATTTGGCTTCAATTGAGTATTATTATTTATTATCTTTTTTAATTGCTGTATTTGTTGCATTTGTTGAATTTGCTGCATTTGTTTTATGTGTTGACTTTGATGCATTTGTTGCAGTTGTGTTATTTGTTTTATGTGCTGTTGAAGTTTTAGTTGTAACTGTTGCTTGTTTGCTATTGCTTGGCTTACGATTGCAACGTGATTTTGTTGATGAACCTTTTTTGTGACTAGTAACTGCTTTAGGGGTGTTGTGTGTGCCGTGACTGTTCGTAGTTGCTGTATTAGTTGTTGTTTGCGTTTGTTTAGGTTCGCTGCTTTTATCATTGCCTTCGATTGTATCGCCGACGTCTTCATAGGAGTCGACGATCCCCGATAGCTACCCAAAAAGTTTTTGCTGTGCAATAATGCGGCGGAGGAGATCTGGACGCCTGTGCGGGGCATGCTTTTTGGTACGATGAAATTTGAGTTTACGTTTCCTTTTACCTGGTCGCTATAAAAATATAAAGAAATATATTATTATAAGTATATGGATTTAAAAAGTAAAGTTATCTGTATATGTTTGGAATACTTACGCCTTTTTGTTGTTGCTGTTGTTGTTGCACGGAAGAGATAGTACGGAAGAGCCTTGCTGCTGAGGATTTCCAGTGTTGAGTGTGATGTTGTCCTACAGTTAAACATTGTCTATAGCAACCATTCAATCGATTTCCGTTTGGTATTCCAATAATGCACGGAAGCTGAATATCGCGAAATTGAAAAGACAAAAAAATTTTGATAAATATTTCACAATTATAATTTATTTCATACGCGATATTCAAGCTTTCGTGCAATATCAGGGTAACAAGCAAAAATATTACGTCTCATACGTAACATACAAAACAAATATAAAATCCTTATAGATTCATATTTTCATATTTATAAGGATAAAATATTGTTTTAAAGTGAATAAATATCATTGCATAGAGCTCACAAAAGCTAATATTAAAAGATACTATATTATTTTTTTATTAATTAAGTAAGATTTTTATATTCTCTCAATATGTTATTACGAATCTTACATATCTCGTATGCATAATCACAGTTATAATTCCTTTGAATAATAATAATTGCTTGAAGTAAATAAATTTAAATGCAATAACAATTCTTATGGTTAATAAATCATTTTTAAAAAACTACTTTATTAAAAATTAAATTGATTTATATCGAAAAGTTAACATATATTAGTGTTATAATTAACCAGTGTAAATGTCATTTAAAAATGCGAATATCAATATTAGTACAGACTTATTTTTATTTCTTTGAAATACAACTTTAACTTTAATTTCTTAAATTAATAAACGTTTGACGTTTTAAAACTACAATTTATTTATTGGCTCTCTATTTGGGCTAAGGCAATTGTTTTTTTATGACTAGAATGCAATGTAAGTTTTTATGTTTTATCACTGGCATAAAAAAACAGATTCATAATTGCATTTGTAGCTTGATACAAGGTACATTTCAAATATTTTCCTAAATATTTTGAGGATTTATTATTTACAAAGGTAACTTAAAATTATGTAACTCACAGTTTTTGCATGACCTGAAGGACCAGCGGGGCGGCGTGAGGTAACAGCAACATGTTGCTCAAAATGGCGACAATCTTCAATCTTTGTGAGTCCATTGTAACGATAACGAAATAATTCGGACAAGCGTATACGTAATTCTTTTTCCCTCTCGAGTGAGGCTAACAAGCGATCATACTCGTTGCACGTATAAAATTGTGCAAAAACTCTAAAGCGATCCCGAAAATCTTTTTGTTCTCTCGTCAGCCTTGGGTGGAGTGCATAATTACGATTACGAAAAAAGTTTGTTACCAATTGATAGTCTCGTACAAGACGTTTGCGTCTTACACGTTCACGTCGTCTACGTGTATACATATCAACATGTGCCAATTTTAAGAGATAATCTGCTTCGCTATCATCAGAACTTAAGGATATTGAAGAGATAAGTTGTTCAGCAGCAGGGTCATATTCACGTTCAAAACTATCTCGATTTGGCATATAGCCCAACTGAGCTGCTTCCTCATTTGATATATCAAGTGGAGGAATGCGTTGTACAGTTGTTTCGCCCAATGGACCCGTATCGTCAGTTGTATGATCAACAAGTTTTGGACGTTGTGCCTGTGCTGGTATCCATGTATGACGTCCCATAGTGCCTTTTACAAATTTATTTGCATACTCTTCCTTCGAATCTTCTGGCGATTTCGTTTCAATATGTTTGCTAACATCTTCCCAATTGCCGTAACCATACTTTTCGACAGCATCTAGTAATCGAATTTCTTCTCGAGCTGTCCAAGCACCTTTTCCTCGATATACAGACAACACAGCTGTTCCTGTGTCCATGAACTGATATGCATGATTATTTTGGTGAGTACCTATTTCAGCACCCGTTGCGAAACACTATTTATTGCATTTTATAAAAAATAAATTTTTATATAATTTATTATTACATTAGAAATTTCTTATTAATATTACTAATATTAATATGATAATAAATAATTGCTTAAATTATAATAATGTTCGTATTGGTGACGACCTCAATGTTTATATTTTAAATTTTTTGCCGGGCTTTAGGTCGTGGTTTTAAAATTTATATTTTTATATAATAACTTGTATTGTATAAAAAACAAAGTTTGTTAAAGCCCGGCAAAAAATTTCAAACTTAAATTATAATATATTTTAAAAATTTTTGTTCAAAATATAATAGTGTTATTTAATTTACTAGTTTCTATTAATAAGTTAAAAATTAAAAACAAGTTTTGTTTGTTTTGTTGTTTAAACAACAATAATAATCAATAGTTCATTATTGACTTTTTAGATTTAAAATATTTACTGTTATCACTATAAACATAAACATAAATATATATATATACATATATCATATATATATGTAGAGAAAAAAATTAAAGTAAACTTTTTTGTTGTTAAAAAAATATTTGATTAATTGTTTATTCGAAAATATATTCCATTATTACTATTATTATAAATGCATATATATATATATCTCGAAGTAATATTAAAAATAACTTGTTATTAAAAAAAATGTTTGCAATTATTGACTTTTATATTGATTATTATTATATACATATACATATGTATGTATAATAATTAAAGACTATATTTATTTGTTGTTAAATAAAAAAATAAGAATTTAGAATCATCGATTTTTTGTTTATTCGAAAATTTTACCATTTTCGAAGATCACAATTTTTCGGAGAACAAGCAAAAAAGATAATTTATTCTAAAGAGAAAAAATTAAAAAATATGATTCACCTGTAAACACAAATCAAAATTTTCACATTCAGCGCAGTGAACCCGAATCCCATTAATATCATCTTGGCAATTTGTGCAACTATATTTTGTGAAAAGATCTGAAATTTTATTCATATTAGTTAAACACTTATAACCTAAGAACACGGCTAGCAAATAATATCGCAAAAATTTTACGCACCCGCCATATTGGCTTTTTTGTTTAACAGAGTCGTTATATTTGTAGAGTTGCTATGTTTCAGAATTTCTAAATTTCTATATCACACATTTACTTTGAAAGTATGTCATTTAATATAAAAAAGTAATATAAATTGGTTAATCTGTGATAAAAAAAATTCTATTGTTTATTAAACATGTTTACAGTACAAATTAAATGTTCTTCTTTTTAATCTATAAATACACAAAAAAAAAGTTATTTTTATGAATACTATAAATACGTTCGTTTTGATGAAATTATATAAAATAATTTTTGTTTTTTCAATTATTTAACAATATATATAATTTTTTTATACATATTTCATTCTATGCGATCTATGTTATTTATAACAATAATATTTGTTTCACATGAGAGTTTTATTTGTAATTTTAGCTGATATTTCAAATTATTCTTGATTTCGACAGCAAATCAAATTCAAATCAGGTAGATTTGTATGAGTATTTTAACAGCTGAAAATAGAATTGATTTGTAATTATTACAAAATATATATATATTATATATATATATATATATATATATATATATATATATATCATATGTGCAATGTATATATTTTGTGAAAATACTTAAAAAGTGTGAACGTGTGATAAATCTGACAAACAAATTACAATGAATAATATGTTCATTAACATACGCAACAAAAGCAATAAATTAAGATTTGGAGTGTGTCAAGTTTTCAGCAAAGCAAACTGGATCACTAAAATCACTACAATTAAAACTTTAAAATAAAACTAAAGTGGGTTTATTCAGAATTTAATACGATGGAAAAATTAATATTAATAATCTCTTTTCTTTTGAAAAATCTTTTAATTATTAATATAAAATATTTTGAGAGTATTTTTGCAAACAATAAAACAAATTGCTTTAATTTGATATTTCAGAGTTCTTCAGAGTTGTAAAGAAACAACATTAAGTCTGTTTGGAACAAATTAGCATCATTTAAAATATGTTAAATGCTTTTTTTGACTCATGTTTTTTGTTGTGTTGTGTAAATATGTTAATTAATTTGAAAAAAAAATTAATTAATATAAATAAAAGAAAACAAAATAATTATTAGAAGGGCAGTGGTAAACATTTTTATTTTAAATATTTAAATTAATTTGTATATTTATGTATTTGAATTTATTAATAATGAAATACTCATATAATTTAAACGGAGATTGCAATTTTGAAACATCTTTCCAGTGAACACTCATAAAAGATTGATTTTTGAATTTAGCTGCACTGAAACTTGAGACTTAAGATTTTAATAGCATTGTTGTTGCTTCAAATGTTTTCTTTCGTAAGTTGTGAGTATTTCTTTGCTACCCTGAAAGAAAAAATTACGACTTCTGTTATACTGTTAAAACATTCTATTCAATATGTGTTGCACATACATATATAGCCATATATTTTCTTAGAAGCGAAGCAAATACTAGGTTTGTTTTATTGTGAATAGTTTTATAATAAAAAGAAGGAAGAACATGTCATTTTATGCAGGTTAAAGAAATGGCACCACGTTCAAAACAAAAAAATCCGAATAAGTGGAAAAAATCAAAGAATTATAAAAAACAACCAACAAATAAAATTAAAAATGGCATTGTTGATAAGAAACGAAAAAATTATAAGTTTATACAGCGAGGAAAGGAAATGGAGGAGTTTCATCGTAAACAAAAGGTATATGAAGACAAATATGCAAATACGCCTTCCTCAACAATGTACAACGACTTAGCTTTACAAGATTTAGGCAGCACTGATGAAGAGGATGAAGATCATTTTGAAGCACTTGTAACTGCTGTTTCAAATACAGACACTAAGAATAATGTGTTAAGTGACGATGACACTGAAAGCGATGACAATGAGAGCTCTGAAATGGATAGTAAATCTGAGGATTCTGATTTAAGTGAAGCTGAAAGTGATAAACACGAAGATGAGAAGGTTCCAGAAGATATTGATGAATTCGATACTGATGAAAGTGAAGATGAAGACGATGATGATAACGAAAAAGAAATTCATGAAAATAAACAAATTTTTGATGTACTATCAGACCGTCTTGAGTATGAATTGACTGCTGATCATGTGGAAAATTTGTTAGCTACTCCACCGGCATTATATAAACAAAAACTGATGTGGCCTGCAATGAAGAATATCAATTTGGAAGTTCCATACTTTAATAAAGTAGGGCAAGAATCAAATTCAAATGAAGCAATTACTAAAATACAACAATCTTACACTGGTTTGCAAAACAAACTGAAGCGAATAAAAGATGTGGAAACCTTAGATAAAATGTGTGTAAAAACAGTTCTAAGCTCTCATATCAATCTCCCACTTTCGCAATTGCAAACTGAAGTGTTCACAATATTAAATAATTACCAAGACATTTTTTTTCCACATCGATCTCTAGAAAATGGTGACGAGTTAAGACAAGTGTTCTGCTTACATGCGCTTAATCATATGCTAAAAACTCGTTCACGTATTGTACATCATAACGCCAAAATTACTGCTCTTACTCAGGATAAGAAGAAAGCAAAAAGCGGTTATATAGTGCCTGATAGTTACCGTGATCAAGGATTAGTGCGTCCAAAAATACTATTCATTGTACCTTTCCGCGAAACGGCATTTGGCATTGTAAATACTTTAACTACACTTTTACTTGGCGAAACTGGAGATAAAAGCAAGTCAGTTATAAACTACGAAAGGTTTGTTCAGGAATATACGGGTAACACTATAAGCTTTCCCAAAACGAATCCTAAACCTGAAGATTATGTTAAAACCTTTAGTGGCAATACAGATGACAATTTTCGGATTGGGATAACTATTACGAAAAAGTGTTTAAAGCTTTACACCGAATTCTATGCATCAGACATTTTGATTGCATCTCCGCTAGGTCTTCGCATGATTGTAGGTGCTGCAGGCACTCCTGAACGGGATTATGATTTTCTTAACTCAATTGAAATGTTGATAATTGATCAAGCGGAATTAATACTCGCACAAAATTGGGAAAATTTACTGCATGTAATGGAACATATGCATTTACCTTTAAAATCTTTGCATAATACTGATTTTCAACGAGTACGGCCTTGGTGTTTAAATGGATATTCAAATTTTTACCGACAAACAGTGCTACTAACTTCACACGATCTTCCAGAATTTCGTAGCATTTTCAATCATAAATGTACAAACTACCAGGGCAAAATACGCGTAACAAATCCAGTCATTTCTGGCAGTATAAGTAATGTTATAATTAATATTCCACAAATATTTCATCGTGTAGATGTCAACAGTTTGGAAAGTTCATTTGATAAACGATTTGATTATTTTATAAATGAAATATTGCCACGCTATCGGAATCCGTCTCATGCACATTGTATGATATATGTGCCAAGCTACTTCGATTATGTACGTTTGCGCAATTATTTTAAGTCGGAAACGGTATCATTTGTACAAATTTGTGAGTACACCAAGGACGCAAAAATAGCACGTTCCCGTGATATGTTCTACCATAGTGGTGCACACTTCCTACTCTATTCGGAAAGATCGCATTTCTTTCGACGCACTCGTATCAAAGGCATACGTCATCTTATCATGTATCAACCGCCAATATGGCCAAATTTCTACTCCGAAGTAATTAATTTGATGCATAGAAGCAATCAAAACTCTCGTGACGGATTGGAAGGATCCATGAGTATAACTGTGTTATACACAAAATACGATACCCTACAGTTAAGTAATATACTCGGCACCGAAAATGCAGCAAAACTGATGAAAAGCAATGAAACATCATACGCTTTTTCTGCTGAATGAATTTACTGTTGTTTTTATTTACTTCTGTACTTGTTTTTGTATTTGTTAATAAAATTTTTACATATGATTTTCTATTGTGAATAACGGTCTTTGTGTTTTCTTCGAACAGCTGATTGACATTAAATGAATATTTTTGTGTGCGCATTTATTTTTATACAGTTGATAAAAAAGCATAATTTAGTTTAATATGTCTTATTGGCAAAATGTTCCGGCACAACATGATAATCAGGCAATACAGCAACAAGAACAGTTGATTGAAAACACATACGATGTTTTGGAAAGAACAAGCGCCAGCCTTCAGCGTTCCAATCAAATTGCTATAGAGTCAGAGCAATTGGGCACTGAGGTTTGTAATGAACTTGAATTAATATTATGACATTAATTGAAATATATTTGTGAGGAGTTTCATAATTAAATTAATGAATGAACGATTTTCTACAAACCATATACTTTACTAGAATTGGTGTCAAGATTTAAAGAGCCAATTAATTTATTCCGAATTGAATTTATTTAGAAATGCTGTTTAGAATATTGTTTTATTTAGAAAAAAATTAGCTTTATTCTTGTTTTTATATTAAATATAGTATAATAAAAAAATATTATATTATATATAGTGTTTTTGTAACCCGCTAGGATCTGCTTGATTTGCCTCTTTGGCAGGCGTTGAAAGGCATTTGAACGTCGTTATTGAAAAGTGGCTGCGGGACATAGACCCGTTCTTAGAACTTATATAGAGTGTAGGTTGTATGTATGTACTGTTTTGTGCGAAGTTGTGATTGTTTCTCCATATACCCGCATGTTTATGCGAAAACTTTACTTTTTTTTTAATTAAGTTGGACGTACGTGTATTGTGAAAGTCCAAATAGAGTGTTTCATTCGACTATGAACACGAGGTGTCCGATGTCAACTGTTCTGATTTAAAACTTTCGCTTTGTCTCATATATCCGTTATGGCATATGATATTATTTGTTTCGAAATTCCTGTATTTTGTTTATATCTTTTCCGTGTTAAGGCCGGTATACCTAGTCAACAAAATAAATAGTCAACCTTATAGGTTCGTTTTTGCATATGATAATATTATTTGTTGTCGAAATTTTTGAATCCTGTTTAAATTAACCTATTTTAAGGCTGGTTTACCTACTCGGCAAGATCCTTATAAGTAGTACAACAATGTTTGTATTTACAATTTGTTATTATCTGTATTAGTTATTCAATTATATATATATAACAAAAATTTATTGTTTCTTTCATACATTAATCTTCTAAGTTTCCGTTACTATTTTGTTGAGTTCTCTTCGACCACACCTCTCTATCCCTTTTCAATTGTTTAACTTCTTCCAACTTCAGCCAGTGACTTACAAGGTGTAACTATTCGATTTTATTTATTTCTTCTATCATTTTCGCAATTCTGCTTTTGACGCTAGTTTTTTATTGACCTTTTGAATCGCTCTTGTATGAATGCCTTATAACAGAACGCCATCTGATGTTTCAGATATATATATATGTAACTATATATGTTACATTGTATACATATTGATCAAAGAATAATAATTATTCCCCTTATTATAAATTTTTAGTGCCTCTGATTTCTTTTAAAAGCTTTTCTATTGATCATCCTATAAGTAAAATTCGTGGAGATTATATTATTTTAATTTTTTATAAAATTATGTTCATTCATGTGTTTATATTATTATTATTATTATTGACATGTTTAAAAATATAAATTCAAGAACTTAGTCTAATCACAAAAGATTTCCAATTATTTCTAACACGCGCTATAGCTCTTAGTTCACTGAAAGATTTGCCCGACTCTCTGTTGATTGTCCTTCTACACGCAGCCTTTGAGCGAGAAGCATGTGCGATTTCACTGAAGGGTTTGCGTAGTGTGTCCCAACCATACATACTTTATTTTTACGATTTATTTATCAATTGGCTTTTTTTCTGTTTTCGTTCATGTACACTAAAAATAAAAAAAGTTTTTAGTAACTTTTATATTTCTCAAATAGACAATTATTTTGGGGACTAAAAACTTTGTGATATTAGCTCTAAATTCTATCATAACTGTGTATATATATTTTGGTATTTTCAACTAAACTAAATTCTTATATTCCAGGTTCTTTCTGAATTAAGTGAACAACGTGAATCTTTACTACGTTCCACGCGTCGTTTACAAAATGCCAATGATGACTTGTCCAAATCACGTGCCATTATTAGGCGTATACGGCGTCAATTTGTTATAAACAAAATTTATCTTATATTAATAATCATTATTGAAATAGCCATTTTAATTGGTTTAATATTGA